TGTCTGATGTCAAATGAAAACATTCACATGACTGATGACAACCATGCTGTTTATTGTGTACTAAGTCAGCCAGTGCCGCTTTTTTCTGCTACTGGGACTGAGTCCATTCCCATGTTATACTTTATTTGCTCAGTTCATTCAAAGAAATAATGAGTGTCTATCATGTACGAGGCACAGTTCTAGCTGCTGCAATCCTTGCCTTCGTGAATCTTACATCCTAGAGAGGTGGGGAGGAGACAATATGCAAGATAAACACATTACATACTATATCAGAAAGTGACCATTGCTACAGAGACAGAAAGCAAAGACGGGAGATAGCAAGTCCTGGGGGCTGAGGGGCAAGTTTCAATTTTAACCAGAATGGTCAGATTGAGAAGGTGCTATTGAACAGAGAAGTAGAGAGGAGGACCAGACCCCTCTTGTAAGCAGTATTGCTGTTGGTTTTCCACTGACAAGGAGCCTCAGCCAGTCTCCCCACATAGCGAGAGCTCTCATAGCTAGTTAATGTCAACAGCACCCTAATGTTGGCTATTTATGTAGTTTTAAAATGGCCCTTCTTAGAGCGCCTGGGTGGCTCGGTCAGTCAAGAGCCCAACTCTTGATTTTGGCTCAGGTCATGAGTTGGGCTCTGTACTGACAACGTGGAGCCTGTTTGGGATTCTCTCTCTTTCTCTCTCTCTGCCCCTCCCCCACTTGCTCTCTCAAAATAAGCTAAAATTTTTTTTTAAAAAAATGGCTCTTCTTGCCATCCCTTCTCTGTCATTTCCTCTGTGTTGGCCTTTTGTCAGTATGTAGAGTGCTAGTTCCTGCATCCAAGAGGATTCGGGTTCCTTCAGAGACAAAGCCCATTCCATGCATGCTTGTAGGTGCTCCTGTCCAGAAATTGGTTTTGCAGATCTCCAGGAGAAGAGTAATTCTATATGCTGATCTCTTTCACTATCATGTGCTTATTTCTGCTGGTCATGCGAGTAAGAAGGATCTCTGACACTTCAGAAACCAAGATGGCAAAAGGAGAACAGCCGAGAATCTAAATAAGTATTTATTGCTCGTCTAATCAAAGCAACCAGAAACTGTGGTAGTGCCCGGACACTTTAAAGGCTGTATACATTTTATGTATGTTCCTCGCGGCGTATTCAGACTGATGGAAAGCTTCCTGTGGTGTTTGTTAGCACATTCTGTGCCTCCGTTTTTCTCGGTACTTTATCCCTTTAGGAGTAGTCAAATTGTCTTTCTATTGTGGGTATCCAGTTATATTCAGGGAATGATCATTACCCTGGCAAAGTCTCGGTTTGGGGATCTTTGGGGCTTGGAAGCCTTTTGTGTTGATTCTGAGAGTCCTAAAAATCCAGATGTCTTCAACAGGTCACTTGTGACAGATCTGTAATATTGTCATGCTTTTAAATTAGTGTTAATGAGTCAACTTAATTTACCATATAAATTAACAATACTAACAAAGACTTACTCCCACCCACTTCAATAATTATCATAAAATTAGAGTGAAATATTTTTATTTCAGCATCAGAACATAATGATGTGAGCTCAAGAAATTTCATTTACTCAAATCATACCATTTGATTAAAACAAATGGTTTCTCCTTGCTCAAACCCTAAAATTCTAAGGTTAAAAAAAAAGAGTGAAGTCAGTGCGATGTTTTCTCTGTACTTTTTTCAATACTCAGCATGACTGATTATTTCAAAGGGGGTTATGAAATTTTTCAAAAGCTATTCAAATTAAAATTACTTTTAACTTATTTTAACTGAAAAGTTCAATATAATTTTTTAAAAAGTTATTTGTTTGTTTTAGAGATAGAGAAAGAGTGTGAGCAGGGGAGAGTGGCAGAGGGGGAGGAAGAGAGAGAGAGAGAGAGAGAGAGAGAGAGAGAGAGAATCTTAAGCAGGCTCTGTACTCAACTTGGAGCCCTGATGCGGGACTGGATCCCGTGACCCTGAGATCAGGGTTCTCAGCCAGAATGACCTGAGCCAAAATCAAGAGTCATATGCTCATCAACTGAGCCACCCAGGTGCCCCTTAGATATAATTGAAAATATATATATATGGAACACATCATGAATTTTTGTGTCATCCTTGCTCAGGGGCTGGGCCAATCTTCTGTGTCATTTCAATTTTAGTGCTGCTGAAGTGAGCACTCCATAATTTTTATCACACACACACACACACACACACACACACACACACAAAGTGTTAATCTTGTTTAAGATTAGGTATCAGATAAAGCAGAAGACTTGAAATCTGAGCTTTCTGATTCACTGAGTTTACTGGGTGACCTTGAGCAAGTCATTTAAACCCTCGGCTTTGGTTTCCTTATCTTAAAGACAGACAAATCCATTCCTTCCCTTTTCTGATGTCATGGGGATGTGGTTAAGAAAAGCAGATGATGTGCCAATACTTTGAGCTCCTGAGAGATGAGCCACATTTAATCCAATCAATGAATATCATTCTCTACTCTAGTTCTTTAGGGAGACATTCTAGGAAAGAGAGAGCAGATAGTGCTGGCTAATTAGATATGTCGCACTCACACTGTTTTAACTAATGCAGCGAGTTCTGTTCAGATGTGACACTCTTGTATAGCAGGTTCACAATGTTCTGTCTGTTTATGAATCATGCTCTTTAATAAGCTTATCTAGAAAGTATAGAGTTGGGATATGGGTGTGTCCTATATGTAACTATACACAATTATGTTTAACTAGTAGAATTTTTTAAATGTTTATGTATTTATTTTGAGAGACAGCACACACATGCAGGTGAGGGGTAGAGAGAGAGAGAGAGAGATGGAGAGAGCGCAGAACCGACTTGGGGCTCAATCTCACAAACTGTGAGGTCATGATCTGAGTTGAGTTAAAGAGTCAGATGCTCCATCTACTGAACCACCCAGGTTCCCTGATAGAATTTTCTTATTACAAGTTGACATACTTTTTAAAAATGTGGTGAACTGGTGGGGAGAGAGAAGAACTATCATTCATGTTTGAAAAAAATTTCCATTAAAAATTGTAGAATTGTTGATTCTGTAAATATGGTATTTCCCAGCTTCAAACACAGGTCCCAGGCCAAGTTAAAATATTATATATAAACCAAGCTTTTATAGTACATACAGCCTTCTTAAAGCACACGGTCAAGGGAGGTATGGTGGTTTAAGGAGTGAACAGGCTATGGGTTTTGCATTCTGGCAAACTTCTTAACTGAGCCAAGTTTTCAAAAATGTGTGGAATGAGAATAATACTACTTCCTGCCTAGGGTCATATTGAAAATTAACAAATTTTTTTTGTAAAGAGTGTTTCTGTTGGGAATTGGGGGGCTGTAGACACCTTACCAAATATTTAGAAAATTAAGAAGTGAATTTTAGCTTAACCTTGGTTTACCCTTTTGGAATAGAAGCCAGATGTTCTTCAAGGTGGTAAATGAAGCTGTGTTTATGTTGTAATTTTACCCTCCCTTGGAGGCCCTCTGCATTTTTCTCTCTTGCCCTCTTCTAATTCTCTTTTTCTGGCACGATTCCTGACATTTTGAAACCTTCTCTGAATTAATTAATTTCACCAGGTCCCTCAGATTCCCACACATGAATACCAACAGACATTTCTTAAAATGTTAGGAATTATCTTTAGTTCTGAAGAGAACACTCTGAACCACATACAAAGGTCTTAATAAAAAGTTCTAATTATTCTGGAGCACCCGGGTGGCTCAGTCGGTTAAACGTCCGACTTCAGCTCAGGTCATGATCTCATAGGCGGTGAGTTCGAGCTCCACGTTGGGCTCTGTGCTGACAGCTTGGAGCCTAACTTGGATTTTGTGTCTCCCTCTCTCTCTGCCCCTTTTCCCACTCATGTTCTTTCTCTCTCTCTCTCTCTCAAAAATAAATAAATATTAAAAAAATTTTAAACAAGTTCTAATTATTCCATCCTTACATGTTAACAGTATGTAGGGGAGGGAAAACTTTTTCTTAACACACTTCAATTCTGTTCCTGAAGACTGCAAATTAAACTGACAAAAGACAGATTATCAAGAGAAAAGGATGTACACATTTTACTGGTAGTTTATTTTTCCAACATAATATATAATATTCTAAGTTTATTAATTTAATACTTTTAATTTTACATGCATGGAAGCTTCACAGAAAAGAAATGAAAACCCAGAGAGGCAGTTGGACCTGGGGGCTTATATACTGTTTTAACAAAGGATGACAAATGGTGGAGAAATGGCTAGATAAAGGAAAAGGAGGTTTAGGGACAGTAAATTGTAGGAAAGTGACCAGGAAATGTATGGTCCATAAGGCTTGTTGAGTAAGATTTGCTATGTAGACTCTTCTCCCATGCTATCTCTGGTGATAATTAAGAGTCTCCTCTTTTTGGTATGGGAGAGTGGGGCACCTTTACAAATGAAAATTTCCTTTGAAAATGGGAAATCGATGCCCTGCTTTTAAGCAGGGGGGAGAGGACAGAATGCCCCTCGCCAACCACCAGCTACCTTACCATGTCTGCTGTTTCTCAAGTGCCTCCAGCTCAAAATAATCCTTATGCCGAGATGGCACATTTTGGAGTGACATTTTGATCCCCTTCAAGTATAATAGTTGGGAAACCATTTTATCTTAGTAAGACTGTTCTATTTGATATAGATTATACTTTTGTAAGACTGTAGGTATAGAATTAAATAGAGTCATAAATGAAGGCATGAACAGGCAGAGCTGTGTAAGTATTTGGCCACTCGGTTACCCCTGCTTGCAAAGCCAGCAGGCATGCCTCTTTGTGCAACATACGTCTTCTAATTTGTTTTGTTTGCATGGTGAACATGTGATCATTTTATTGATTTACAAAATAAACAGGCATTTCACTGTATGCCTCATCCAGCATTGAGGGTTGGTTATGGTCATTTTGGGGTCACTGGCATGGAATTCTACCTGTATTCATAACACGGTGTCTGTAGTGAATGAACCAATGATTGATTTGCACTTACAAGTTATTATATATTTTTCCTGTCTGACAGCAGCAGCGTGCAGGGTCAAAGACAGCCGGCCTCCCATGTCAGTGGTCTAGGATGGCCAGTGAAGCCACCAACATCCCAAGTCCTGTGGTGCGCCAGATTGACAAGCAGTTTCTGATTTGCAGTATATGCCTGGAACGGTACAAGAATCCCAAGGTTCTCCCCTGTCTGCACACTTTCTGCGAGAGGTAAGCCTCCTTTGTGCTCAGAGAAGAGAGTTTCACAGACTGATCTCCTCCAGCTTACCAAGGGGGTCTTTCCAGAATTGTCCAGTTACAAAAGAGACAATAACTCTTTTGTGCTTATGATAGATATCTAGAAACATAATCATGAGTTGCCAATAATTTACTCTATTTTATTATTTTTTTTAATTTTTTAATGTTTTTATTTATTTTTGAGACAGAGAGAGACAGAGCATGAGCAGGGGAGGAGCAGACAGAGAGGGAGACACAGAATCCGAAGCAGGCTCCAGGCTCTGAGCTGTCAGCACAGAGACCAACGTGGGGCTCGAACTCACGAACGGTGAGATCATGACCTGAGCCGAAGTCGGACGCCCAACCGACTGAGCCACCCAGGCGCCCCTAATTTACTCTATTTTAAATAACTACAAGTGAGAGAAAGCAATCTAGTAGCTACTGATTCATTCCCACAGGACATAGAACATTAAATATTTTAAGATTTCAAAAATGTTTTAATTTCTCCCTTGTTTTTCGTCAATTTTTGCCAACCACAGTTCCTTCATACAGTATCTTTGGTGAGGGCCAATTAAAAATCTATTATGGGGCACCTGGGTAGCTCAGTTGGTTGAGTGTCTGACTTTGGCTCAGGTCACGATCTCGTGGTTTGTGGGTTCGAGCCCCATATCGGTCTCTGTGCTGACAGCTTAGAGCCTGGAGCCTGCTTCGGGTTCTGTGTCTCCCTCTCTCTCTCTGCCCCTCTCCCGCCCACATTCTGCCTTTCTCTCTCTCAAAAATAAATAAACGTTAAAAAAAATTTTTTTAATCTATTATCTTCTCCCATACAACACATGAGGTAAAATACCTTAGTTAAAAGGGAGAGCTTCCTCTCAAAGATACTTCAGAAGTGGGGCACCTGGGTGGCTCAGTCGGTTGAGCGTCCAACTTTGGCTCAGGTCATGATCTCACATTCTGTGAGTTCGAACACCGCATCACACTCTGTGTTGACAGCTCAGAGCTTGGAGCCTGCTTCAGATTCTGTGTCTCCCTCTCCCTCTGCCCCTTCCCTGCTCACGCTCTGTCTCTCTTGCTCTTAAAAATAAATAAACATGAAAATTTTTTTAAAAAAAGATACTTCAGAAGACATATACTAATGGCACATTTGAACATAAAGATGTTGCAGATGAAGAAAAAAACTACGTGTATGAAATAATTATAAATTACCTGAACATGTAATTTGCTATATATGAAAACACATTTCTTTATCCTTCTTAGTTTTTTCCATTGAGTTAATCAGTTATCAAAATACATCTTTACTTTCTCGTTTAACTTAGCACATAAGCAATTAAGCAGATAAAGTTTGTTAGTAATTAGTTTGTGTCCTAATTTAAGTATTTCCCTGGTAAGGTTATATTTTTTTTCTTAAAAAAAATATAATAATTATGTTTTATAGCATTGTGTTAAATATATTTTCTATTATTATTAAATATACATAATTAAAATGCTTTAATTCTTTTTATAGAATAGGAAGTGGTGTTTCCAATGGCTTCAAATCAGTGCTAATTATATTTACCATCCATTTAATATACATTTGTTACAGTTGATTTACTTTGTAAGATCTCAGGTGCAACAGAATAACCATATACATGCTGGTGATGGATAGACGGAGAAGGTGGATTTGTTACTGGCCGTTGTGGTTTTTTTGTTTGCTTTTTAGGGGGTTCTTTTGGGGTGTGTGTGTGTGTGTGTGTGTGTGTGTGTGTGTGTGTAGAGTTTTTGTTTGTTTTAGTAGTGGTATATAGGGCACTAGCACTTTTCACTTTATTTATTTTACACTTTGGTGCATTTTGTAATTTATAGTCCAAAATGACTATATGGAGAGTGACTTCCCCCCCTCACTCAATGAATCTAGGTAAAACATGAATACCAGCTAATTGTCCCTGTGTCCCTGGGCTCACATGGTAAGATCATTATTTGATTTGCAGCAGTTGGCCTCTTCATATGTAACACTGAGAAGCACTCCTGAGCCTGGCAGAGCCTCCTATTCCCCGTGTTCAGTTCCCAGGCAGTCCGCTGTTTGGCTCCCATTTACATGCTCTGACAGGTGAGAAGCAACAGTTTTGGGCTGTCCTGGGTCCGCCTCATGCCCTCTCAGTTGGGTCTCACCCAATCTACTTCTGTTCCTCCGTCTAATGGCCGGTGGTAGAGATTTTCCAGAGCCTACCACAGCAAGTCCCTGTGGAATGCATGGAATGGGTTTTGAGAAGGTCACAGTGGTCGCAATATGAAGAATATTAGAGGATAGAGGATACAAGGGTGGGTGACCATGCATAGAGCCACTGCAGAAACCCAGGAAAGGCTGGTGTAAAGCAGATGATGAGAACTGGAAATGTAGGAAGGTATTTAGGAATTTCCAGCCTTTGGTGATGGGTTGGATGTGGAATATGAAGGACAGTTACTGTTTTCAGCATGGCTCCATCATTCCTAGATGAATGGATGGGGGTGCTGTTTGTTGAGATGGAAAGAGGACCCAGTTTGGGGAAAGAACATAGCTTTGGTTTTGGACATGTTGAGTCGTAGAGCTTGTGCGACATCTAAGAGGAGATGCCAAGAAAGCAGTTGGTGTAGAGATTAGGGGCTCAGAGGAGACGTTTGTGGAAGGAATAGAAATGTGGGAGTGTGGTGTTTATAGCCCTGCACATGGATATGATGTCCCAGGGAGAGAGGGGTGCTAATGACAGAGCCTGGACTGGCCAGTAGAAAACCAAGAGCAGACAGAAGGAGAAGGAGGACCAAGTGAGTGTGCTGTCACAAGCAAGAGAAGATAACGTTTCAAAAAAGGAGAGGTGGGAGGCAGCGGTCACATTTAATGAGTGGTACTGGGAAGGATAGGAGTGAAAAATGTCTATTGTCTGGATTTGGATGCCCTCAGTAACCTTAGCAAAAGCTATTCTGTTTCTGGTATTGATTCAGTGCTAGGTACTTCTGTGACATAGGAAAGTCCATTAACCTCCTTGATGGCATTTTTCTTATCTACTTAATATGGGGAATGAGACGAAATCAGAAGTTTTCAAATTTCGTTTGGCAGAGCAACAGGGAAACATTATGTAGAGTAGTTATATAGAGCTTAGGTTCTGGTGCCTAAGAACCTGAGTCGCCTGGGTTTGAACTCCTGCTCTGCCCTTGACCACTGGAGTTCTGAGAGCAAGCAACTTTGCTTCTCTCAGCCTGTGTTTCCTCGGGTGTCTAAAGTAAATACTTCAGGCGCACCTGGGTGGCTCAGTTGGTTAAGTGTCTGACTCTTTGTTTCAACTCAGGTCATGATCGCACGGTTTGTGAGTTTGAGCCCTACATCGGGCACTGCACTGAGAGTGGGACGACTGCTTGGGATTCTCTGTCTCCCTGTCTCTCTGCCCCTCCCCACCCCCCTCTCTTTCTCAGAATAAATAAACATTAAAACATAAGTAAATAAAGTACCTACTTCATACGGTTTTTGCAAGTACTGTGAATCTAGTGAGCAGGATCTATATGTCATTACTAGCAATGCGTTTTGCTAATTAAATGAATTAAGTTGATGCCTTTTGAGGAGAGGCAAGAAGAGATCATGTTGGTATGACTCCGGGTGTCCTATCCCTGCTTTAAACAAAACATTTCCACTGGGAGGTGTTTTGGTTTTTTTTTTTCTTTTTTAAGGTTTATTCATTTTTCAGAGACAGAGACAGAACATGAGGTGGGGAGGGGCAGAGAGAGAGGGAGACACAGAATCTGAAGCAGGCTCCAGGCTCTGAGCTGTCAGGACAGAGCCCAACATGGGGCTTGAACCCACAGACCGTGAGATCATGACCTGAGCTGAAGTCAGATAGATGCCTAACCAACTGAGCCACCCAGGCGCCCCTCCACTGGGAGGTGTTTTTAACATGGGAGATCTGCTTATGCTTTTGTATGCAACTATGTGTAAGAAATAATTAAAAATTAACTGAATATGCAATTTGCTATATATGAAAACACATTTCTTTATCCTTCTTGAGTAGTTGTTCCATTGAGTTAATCAGTTATCAAAATACATCTTTACCTTCTTATTTAACTTAGCACATGAGCAATTTCACATATGAAGTTTGTTAGTAATTACTTTACCTGTGGCTTAATTTAAGTATTTCAACAGTAAGAGAAAACTTCAACCTGTTTCTCCCCATTGTAAAAATCCACAAATCTGTGAACATGACACTGGATATTGTAGAGCAATTCTTTGCAACCTTTTTAAAAATTTTTTTAATGTTTATTTTTAAGAGAGAGAGAGACAGTGTGAGTGGGGAGGGGCAGAGAGAGAGGGAGACGCAGAATCCGAAGCAGGCTCCAGGCTCTGAGCTGTCAGCACAGAGCCCAACACAGGGCTTGAACTCACAAACTGCGAGATCATGACCTGAGCCAAAGACACTTAACCGACTGAGCTACCCAGGTGTCCCCTGCAACCTTTAATGGGCATATAAATCACCTGATTCAGACTCACCAGGCCTGGAGGAAGACCTAAGATTCTGCACTTCTTCCAAGTTCCCCCGAGAGGCCAATGCTGCTCACTTGGGGCAAGGTTCCCCAGAACACTACCAAAGTCAATGATGTTACTCTTTTCCTTGGGGGTTATCCTTTGCCTGATCAGTCGATAGGGGCGCGGGAGTACACATTACCTCTTGGTTGCTGAAATCTTATTTTCCTAGAAAAGGAAACTACATAGGGAGTTTCTGCAAAGTAGCCCATGTAGGTGCAGAGAATGTAAGGTACCTGTGAGAAGAGGTGGTCCTGCTCTTGCTCGAGAGCCCACTGTGCTGACAGTCCACCTGCTTCTGCTCCCGCAACAGGTGCCTGCAGAACTACATTCCCGCCCACAGTCTAACCCTCTCCTGCCCAGTGTGCCGCCAGACCTCCATCCTGCCCGAGAAGGGGGTGGCCGCGCTCCAGAACAACTTCTTCATCACGAACCTGATGGACGTGCTGCAGCGAACTCCCGGCAGCAACGTTGAGGAGTCCTCCATCCTGGAGACGGTCACCGCTGTGGCTGCCGGAAAGCCTCTCTCTTGCCCAAACCACGATGGAAATGTAAGTGAGCGGATTGCAGACGCGGCCTGGGGGCATGACTGCTTTGATTTGGGTAGGCTTCGGGCAATCAGAGGTTATACGCTAAAGCAGAACTCCACCTGGAAAATGAGTAATTAGAAGGCATTTTTAGCAGTGCTCAGGCTATTTTGCCTGCTTACTTGCTCTGATCACATTCATTTAAATGATCAGATCAATCTTCATTGTGTCTATTAGCATGTATTATTAGTTTCCCCAGGAGAGCAAACCCATAACTATTTGCACAGTGGGTATTCTTGACCCACATAAATATCTATATAGTAAAATCTGGATAAAGATTAAAAATAGATACGTGCTGCAAATTGAGAATGATTATTAAAATATTAATTACAGCTCTTTGTTTTTCTTTTGAGGGAAATTTTTCTCCTGCTCCATTAGGCCCTAATCCTCAATAATAAACAGAATTTGAAGATGTGTGAATACTTGACAATAGATTCTAGATTTTGAATTCAAGCGTATTTTCTGCTACTAGCAAGCACAATAGGTGATATAAACTTAGGAGAACCTGTGTGTACCATTAAATAACTGATTCACAATAGCTGTGTCACCTGAAGAGGCCGCATTGTACAAAAGCACTGGCTTTGGATTTCTTTTTTTTTTTAATTTTTTTTTTTTTCAACGTTTATTTATTTTTGGGACAGAGAGAGACAGAGCATGAACGGGGGAGGGGCAGAGAGAGAGGGAGACACAGAATCGGAAACAGGCTCCAGGCTCTGAGCCATCAGCCCAGAGCCCGATGCGGGGCTCGAACTCTTGGACCGCGAGATCGTGACCTGGCTGAAGTCAGACGCTTAACCGACTGCGCCACCCAGGCGCCCCATGGCTTTGGATTTCAACTGCCTGGTTCAAACTCCGCTCTTCAACTTATTCCTGTGTCAGCTTTGGCACGTTTATTAAGCTCTCTGTGTCTCACTTTCTCATCTGTAAAGAAGAAGTAATAATTGTATTTACTAGGGACCCCTGAGTGGCCCAGTCGGTTAAGCATCCAACTTTGGCTCAGGTCATGATCTCACGGTTTGTGAGTTCCAGCCCCGCGTCGGGCTCTGTGCTGACAGCTGAGAGCCTGGAGCCTGCTTTGGATTCTGTGTCTCCCTCTGTCTCTCTGCCCCTCCCCCGCTTAGACTCTTTTTCTGTCTCTCAAAAATAAATAAACATTAAAAAAATTAAATAATAGTATTTACTATATGGGATTACTTGGAGAAGTAAATGTTTAAGTCATATAAAGCATTATAGTAAGCTCTTGATAAATGTTAGCTATGAAGATTATTTCTCATCAGTGACTTCACTTTTTTCTTTGTAATGGCCACTTCAAAAGTATTAGAAGCTGCTTATAATAGAAGGCATGGGTCTAGTAAAACCACTATCAAGCAAGCTATTAATTGTTAGAGCAAAGGAATAATTATTAGCCATAACTGTTGTTTGTTGACCTCATTTCATGCCACTCTCTCTGCCCACCACACGGCAGCCTCACTGGTCTAGAACTTGCCAAGTGGCTTCCCACCTTGGGGCTTGATTATTCTCTGTGCATTCTGCCCGGAATGCTCCCTGGCTAGCTCACCCTCATCCTTCATGTCTCTGCTCAACTTGCTCCCACACAGAGCAGTCTTCTGTAACTGAGGCAAACCACCTCTGACACCCACTTATTAGCCATTACATCACTTCCTGGATTTCCTTCCTGGCATCCACCATGCTCTGCTTGCCTTCATCTGTGTATTTGTTGATCTTCTGGCCTTACTTTTAGAAAGTGAGCTCCAGAAGGTCAGGGACCATGTTCACCATTATATTGCTAGCACTAAGCACAGTATCTTCTACATGGAAATGTAGAAACAGAGACTGTCTGTCCTGAACTTGCTATAATAAGGAATCAGCCACCATCACTTCTGTTTTGGCAGAGACTCAAAGACAGGCAGAGGAGTGGGAAAGCTCTACCGCAGACAAAAGGGAAAGCTTTAGGGATGCGCTGTTTGGAGGCTGTTGGCATGGGGAAGCTGGAGACAGAGAGAGCGCGAATGGGAGAGGGGCAGAGAGAGAGGGAGACACAGAATCCAAAGCAGGCTCCAGGCTCTGAGCTGTCAGCATAGAGCCCCACGTGGGGCTCGAACTCATGAACCGTGAGACCATGACCCAAGCCAAAGTTGGACGCTCAGCCGACTGAGCCACCCAGGCGCCCCTACGTATCTTTAATTAATTATTTAATTGAAAGCACACCAGGCTGTCAATAACCACGGTTTCCCATACAGTGTACTCCAAGGGAGAATTACCATGTAAGTTTTGTAAAGGAAACTTTAAATGGTGCCTTCAATTAGTTGAGCATTCTTCTTATGACCATTTCTCACACTGGCTCTCCCTGAGGCTGTCTTCTCCTAGAGGAGCTCTAGCTCCACTCAGGTCATGATCTCACGGTTTGTGGGATCAAGCCCTGCACCGGGCTCTGTGTTGACAGTGCAGAGCCTGCTTGAGATTCTCTCTCCCTCTCTCTCTGCCCCTCCCCCTGCTCTCTCTCCGATGCTCTCTCTCTCGCTCTCTCACAAGATAAATAAATAAACGTTTATTAAAAAAATGAAAGGAGTTCAATTCAAAAAGCTAGGGAAAACAACAAATATATGGAACACGAAATAATAGAGATAAACTTGGTTTGAAAGTAATAAAACAATTGAGTTAAACCTAAGAGCTGGTTTTTTTAATTAGTGAAATAATTTGATATCTGGTAAAACAAAAGGAAAATATATCAAATTAGGACTCTAACAAAGAGATACCAGTACAGGTAAAAGGAATATTTTAGAACAAATATATCAATGCTAGGTGCTAAAGGCTAATATACTTGAAAGTTTGAACGAAATGGATGATTATCTAGGAAACTGGAAGTGATCAAGAAAACCCGAGTAGGCTGCTAATTTTGCAAGAAACTGGCAAAACTTTATTTGAAACCTAATTCCTTCAAAACAAATATGTGTAAAACAAATATGATTCATAGTGTGGTCTGCATCTTAAGAAAAGATAGAAAACTCCCTAATTCACTCGTGATATACTCATAACTTTAATACCAAAATCTAGTGAAGACAGAAAAAGAAAACCATTAATCATTCGGTTCATGAAAATAACTGTAAAATTCTTAATTAAAATACCCCAACAAATCCTTACTATGTAAGAATTAAGAATCAGGAAAAACATGAACATCACAAAAGAATTAAGAGTTAGGAAAATATGAACATCACAAAAGAAAATGGGCAGAGAACTCAGAAAATTCACAGAGAACATATAAATGGCTGATAATAGTGTGAGAAATCTCAAGCTTCACAAATAATCACACCTTTTCAAGTTGATTTTCAAAGATAATAAGCAGTGCTGATGAGGATATGGGGAGATGTTTTCATTTGCTGTGGGTGGGAGGGTAAATTGCTCTTCAGAAAGTTTATGTCAGTTTGTCGAACTATAATGAGTGTTTTACACAACTTCCTGTCCTTTAATTCAGTAATTACACGAGTTAGAAATATTTCTAAGGAAATAGCTGGAGAAAAGAATGAAGATATAAGAATGTTCATTGAAAATTTTAGATTAGAGTAAAAATTAGAAATAATCTGAATGTGCAATATTAGGGAAATGGCTAAATTATGGTAAGTTGGTATACCTGACTCTTGGGTAGCCATTAAAATTGATGGTTTGGTAACAGATGACAATTATGCTAATATGTGGGTATGCTTGTATGTTTACATAGACTTTCATTTTTTAATTAGTCATTCCACACTGTATATTCAGTATAGAAAGGAGAAGGGTATAGAAGCAATAGAGACCCTTGGATGCCACCAGCTGCTAAGCAGAATCTGTCTTAGAGATGCTGATTCCAGCAAAGTTAAAGAATCCTTTAGGTTAAAACTTCCCTTTGTCTCTCTCCAAATGCATCACATCAAATCCACTAAAATTTAGATCTATCTAGAATTTGAACCTCCTTAAGGTAGATGAAGCTATTTAAAGTATGTTTTGGCTGATTTCTCTTTGCTGGGTCATTATGATTCTTTGGAATCATAAAATTTATAAGCCAGCAAGAGGTCTTGGAAATTAACAGCGTGTGCCTTGAATCGTTCTATTGTTTTATCATAGATTGTAGTTCACTGCTGCTGCTTTGAAACAGGGGTCCTCATTGCATATTCAAGCCAAATGCATGCAATATTGCAGATAAATTGCTGCAGTTAATTGCCATGGGTAAATCTTTAAAAACAATTCAAGCATCTGAAGGTTAATAAAATTGGGTAATTAACAATAAAGCAGGATGTTGTCCTCATAAACTGCCTGGTGCTGATTAGCACATGTGGATGAAAGCCTGTCATTTACTTTAAGTGCTGTGACACTCTCTGTCTTCTAATTAAACTGCCATGGCTGCATTGTCCAAATACAAAGAAAAATGGGAATAATGGTCAGTGATTTAAGAGGTTCTTTGCACGTAAACCAGACATTTGAGCTCATGCCTCACGGTCCCAGAACCGCAAATGATCATTAAACCCTGTTATGGCTTGCTTAGGCACCTTACTAACAAGGATGTTAAGAGGTACAAAGAAGAGATCCTCATTAAGAATGCCCTACCACTAACAAGTCCCCACTTCCACAATCCTCAGGGCTGTTCCAAGGCCCTGACCACCCTTTCTAGCACATTAGTAGTGCATATGGTCTTGCCTTGTCATCTTCACAAGTAGTGTCTACCTGTCAACAAAAATAAGCTAGTCCTGGCCTCTGGCCCAGCCGCCCCCAAGAAAAAACACCAGTATTATCTCACTCAAGATGGATGAGCTCAGCTGAGTCTCACGCTTGACGCAATTAACTCTCAGCTTGAGTCAAAGCTGCCAGATCCTGAGCACAAACATTTGGGAATGACTAGTTGTTCACACTTTAGAATGATTTTAGGGCCTTTGTTTCCAAGAAACACTTAGGTTTCCAAACCAGGGACAATCACCTATGTGTGTAGCTCTCTC